CCCAAACCATTCTATGATTCTATGACAGAAAAAACTGCTGTGGCTTTGACTGGTTGGATATGGCAAAGCTCTAACTCTAATTAGATCAACATCTTGTACAATCCCAAAATGACGTGAATGAAACAGAGTTCTGGAGAGTTGCACACAAGAAGCACAAAGTCATTAGCATACCCTTAAAGCATCAGCAGTAGAATAAGACTTTTCATTATCACTTTAAAACTTAAAAAACATAACATACATATTACATTATTGTTCAGATTGTGCAGTTTGATATACACACAAAAATTAGCCCACATATTAGTCTTTATTTCACTGATAAAATCAGTCTCCAAATGTAGAAGTAACCTGCTTCTCATCAGTGCAGGGTTCAGGGTTGCTGTGAGGAGAGCCAACTTTGCATTGCTGCATAGATCAACCAGAAAAACTAACGCAGACAACTGCAGAAGATCTGTCAACAAGAATAATAATTTGGATAGTAATAATTTGCTTGCCTTTGACTAATGTCTGACTTTGAGATACAAGAAATTTTTCTTCAGGTTAAAAAATTTTCTGAAATTAAATTTGGGTTTGAATACTTCCTTCCAAGAATAAAAATTATTGTTCAGTTAACGCATCACTAGTTTTACTCCAAAGTATCAGAAGTTCTATAAAAGGAAGGAAAGAAATTATTCCTAAATTTCTTTAGGTAAGAATAATATAGAGGCAACACTTAGCTTTATTTAGGTTAAAAATAACATATTTAAAACGCTGTAACTAGTGGAAAAAACAATACTGCTATATTTTTCATGTATGAAGCTGATACCAATGTGTACAGTACTTTTTTTTCTTTTTCTTTTTTTTTTTTACCTTAATGGCTTTAAAGCGCTCAGTTTCATTAAGTTGATTGTTGTAACAATTATTGCAGTTGCAGTTGTTGCAAAAATCACCATTGGCAAAGCAATCACAATATCTATGATTAACATGTAAAATAATATAAGAAATGAAAAGATTAACTGGCTTAAGTGTAAATTTTTAAATTTAAGTTCTACTTCTAGGCAGAACGTTCAGTTTCTACTCATGAAAAATGTTCCTTCCTCTGTAATTTAATCATATCCAAACCCAAAGAGCTCTTCTCTCTCTTTCAATTTTACATTTTGTAAAACACACCCAGTCCATCAATGAATCAAACTTTAATCATTGTGCATACATCTTTGTGCATATTATTTATGTATGAGAGCAGCAGCAAGACAGTGAAATTATATTTTAGTATACAGCATTTACATTCTACATAGGATTTTCCAGATGAGATCTGAATAATTCTTCTAGCTTCTCTTTTTTGTTTTTCATACTTTGGATTATATGCAATCATCTACACCTCTACACCAAATTCTGAACTTGTGTGACACTAGTTTACATCAACTGTGGGTCCTCCTAACTCAGATGAGCAATTTTGGACACATATGTACTGTTCATTTTAAAGCACACATTTCTTGTATATTTGTCCTTTTGTCTATACAATGTTATTAGCATTTAGGAAAGGTTGATAAACTATTACTTACAATTTAAGACACTGAGATTTTGTGCAGTTACATGGTTTCTTAGACTTTGTAACCTCTGAACCAAAAGGTAAGCTAAGCAGGTTGAAAAAGGAAAGAAATTAGAAAAAAAAAACAAAAAAACAAATACAACTACAATGAAAACTAATTATTCTGTAGTTTTGAAACAATAAATACTGATTTTATTTTTTTTATCACTCTTGGTGGTACTTAACAAGTGTGGCCTCATAGAGTGTGTGAAAAAAAAAAAAAAAAAGAAGAGAATAAGCAACCTGTAATCTCTATCCACCAGCTGGCACTACCTGGGGCAAGTCTGCCCTCAGTCACATAACCTGGTAATGGTTGTGCAACTGCAAAACTCTCTCACCTTTCACACTGGGGTTGCATCTGCCTCTTATTTAAAAACTATATGCAGTTAAATACTATTAAAAGAATTCCATTTATGTCAGAAATTCAGGCTAAATACACGCTAATTAGATTTGGAAAAATACCAATTAACTTCGAAAATTAAATGTTTTTCGGGCACATGGAGAGTACAATTGCACTGATCCTAAGAAAACCGGAAACCATCATCTTGACTGCCAGCAACTGGCATCGTAACTACCAAGATACATACATAAAGGATTCTTACAGAACTGCATTTTTGTCACAAGAGAGAAGCAGCTATGCAACATGAAAATGTCTAGGAGAATTTTAAAATTCAAAAGTCATAATGGATATAAGATGTGTCACGCATCTTACCCCTCTGAGGTCACATTCACTGCATGCAGATCTGATTCTAGATGAAGTGTGGCAGTGTTAGCTACTGGTTGTAAGGGTCTGTTTTCAAACTGTTCAAGATAAAATGCATATATTCTGTTTATGTTAAGTTAAAAAAAATACTCTTGTAAGTAACACAAAAAAAAATACTTGAGGGATAATTTGATTGCCAAGGTTACTGATAAAAATTCATGGAAGTAAAGTCACAAAACCAGTATGTATCTCCTCTTGGAAACCATTCAAGATGTCAGGAATCCCATTTCTCCCAATGTAAAGAACCAAGAACAGCTTTCAGTGCTGTAGTGTTGGCACACTGTTTCCAATTCCAGGTTCAGTTGCTTTTAATTCCAGTAGTCAACTGAAACTGGCTAGTGACTTGATTTACTTTATGTTCAGCTCCGGTATGACATCTAATTGGTTGAAGACTAAGCAAAATTAAAAAAAAAAAAAAAAGAATCAGCTCATAGGCTGAGAAAACACACTGCAGATCTGTTATCTCTTCAGATATATGAATAACAAAGGCCTGGTTATGGAGAGAGACAAGGGAAGAACATTTAGGATTCCACTGATACTACCGGTAATGGAGGGACAGTGAATAATTGTAAATTACTGTTATTTTAATAAATTATTAATCTATCTGACCATAAAGAAGAGCAAAATTAATATATTTAAAGCAAGAGAAGAAATGTAGGAAACAACTAATTTGGGATAAAGTTAGAGAATTACAAGCCTGTCTACATCACTGTTCCAGAATGTTTAAGCACCATTTTGCAGATATACCACCTCTAGAGATGAAGGACTTCCAAAGTCATTGTTCAGTCTGACCCCTGGGTTTTTAATTCCCCCTTTTATGACAGTGGCTGCTATCCACAAACCATTTGCTGTGCTTGTACTGACATCACATATTCACTTCACACAAATCAAAAGTTAACAATTCAAAATTTGCAGTGATTTTTGCTAAAAATTCTGTTGAACGTAACATATGAGAAGCCAAACATCTGCAAAGATTTTTTTAGATTTTCTTCAATTTCCATCATAAAAAAAAAAAAGACAAAATTCATAAAGACTTAATGACTGTTAAATCCTAATCAAAAGAAAAGAGTGTAAAAAGTCCTACTGTCAGAAAATATTCCTCTTTTTCTGGTAAAAGTCAGTGTGCTTTTCTTCATCCCAAAAGAGTCTTGAAATGGTTCTCAGAAATAACATAATTATACAATGCCAAATTCAAGGTTTCAAAACTGGAATAAATTTATTTTTCTTATGGAAAGCGGTATTTTTAATTTTGCTATCGCTTCTAGAAAATGTTGAAATTGGAGACCTTTATTATTCAGAAAGTATACTGGGTGCAGAACTAATCTGACCAAACTAGCTAAACCGTCTTTAGAAAATGCATGTAATTGTTACTTCCCAACATAGACTTAATTACCTGTTTTAAGAAAAGTAAACAAAGACTGTATATTGTACTTAACTAGTTTAAAGGATAAAGCTTCTTTACCTCTTGTTTATTCAGAAACAGTTCACCTGGAACAGGCAAAAACTGCCCCAGGACAGCTGTCACAGAGTTGTCCACATCTGAAAAGACAACATTTACTTGAAGACAGCAAAACTACTCTCAGTCTGTAAAGTTTCATTTATGCATAAATATTTGTTGAATTAAGTATACACTGGTATCTTCAACTTCTTTTGTTAAGAAAAAAAAATTATCTGAGGCTGTCTGTCCTCTGTTGGCACTTTCTCCTACAATTTAGTTTTGAATCCAAATTTATTCTACAATAAATAGTGTCAGTGAAGAACCTAGAAGTTTTCTCTCCAGAAACATTTTTATCATTGCAAAAAACAAGAATAAAAACCTGACCACACAAAAATAACCCTGACAGAAGAACCCACCACCAATTTGTGAGCTAAGATTTTGAGTATAGGATCTTTTTATTCTATGACATCAAGTACATTAAATTCAAATGCCATGGACTAAAACATTTTTATAAAATAAGAAAAATATCTGAAATAATTAAATATATTTATCCTGAGTTCTTACTTCACAAATTTCCAGAGTTCTGAGAGAACATTTGGAACGGAAGTCTTTAGATTATGAAAAAAAATTAATAAAAACCCATAGAGAAAACCATAGCCATAAGAGTAAGTCTTTGTGTAAGTCCTGGTGAAGAACCGCATGTAACTACATGAGTACGCTAGCCTATGCAGTAAAAAAGCAAACATCAGTCATAGTAAGATTACAAGATGGATCTTATACCTGTATTTTCTTCCTTCCCATCTAAAGAAAGAAAGAAAGAAAGAAAGTGAGCCAAAGGAAGGCTTAATTCACAAGTTGAATTAGTCCCTAGAAACTTTTAGATATAATTTCTGGACCTAATTATTTCACTTGCAGAGCAAAACCAAAGAAATCTCAAGCAAATAAATGGAAATAAATAAACGTGGACATCCCCTCCCTGGAAGTGTTGAAGGCCAGGCTGGATGAGGCTTTGAGCAACCTGATCTAGTGGAAGGTGTCCCTGCTGATGGCAGGGGGGTTGGAACTGGATGAGCTTTAAGGACCCTTCCAACCCAAACCAGGGATTCTATGATTCTATTCTATGAAAAACTAAAAAAAATATGCAAACACACTCCTCCTCAGCTTTTTCTTCCTTAACATTACAGCAAATGAAGGGGAGTTTGACCTTTAACTCAAATGTGACTGGTTTACTCTTCTGATGGCTTCTGAGAAATATAAGTAAACAGGCTCCATACCTGGAGCATCTGCTGAGAGGTGCTCATACTCAGCACCTATTGATATTGAGAGCAATATGGTGAGAGCTTGTATGGTGCCTAATATTAAAAGGCTTTGTTTTCACATTGCCATCAAAATTCACCACTGTAACAAAATTATAATAATAAATAATGAAATAAACCATGTTAATAAAGTTTTTGAGGAAGATATATTTAGGTAAAGAAATATTCCAATTAAAACTAAATTACACTCAAATACTTTGTTGCTGCTCAGATGAAAATGTGTTACTCCATATAAATAGCATTAACTTTTGGACCTCAGAAACCAGTTTCTTGAAAAACTGGTGGCATTTCAAGTTCACTTATTATGTAAATAGTAGGGAGACATTCTGAATCCCAAAGCTGAAGTATACTCATAGCCCTCAACACTGCTCTTCATTTCCAGAGAAACACTGACACTTGGTGGCAAGCTGGGGGTAAATGCAAACATATTCAGGTGCTCATGCTAAATGTGCCTTACATGGAAAGTAATTTGTGTATTAAGAACTTTTAATAAATTCAACATATCCATTACATCATTCTTATTACACTGAAGTGCCTAGCAACTGTTAAAAAATAAAATAATAACTGGTGATAGCTACATTAGCTTTGGTTCATCTCCCGCTCTTGCTGCTTAAGAACACAAACGCAGTTGCACATTAAAAATTTACAATACGCTTTCTGACAGGCTAGAGATAATTTTCATTTTTATTGTACCTGATTGACGATAATTATGTTGGTCATGATAGTCAGGAATCAGCTGAACTGGTTTTAGTTCCTGTGTGTCACAACTGTTTATACAGAGTATTTGAGTACCTCCTTCCAACTGGCAGATAACCTGGAATGAGCAAGTCGTGATTAGCTTTCATCTAAGAAACTGTAATTCTAAGCATATAGATACAAAGGTTTTCATAAGAGAAAAGTTTATAAAGCTTCATAATCACAGACTGGAATCTCGCAAAAAAAAGGACCATTATGCATTAAGGTGTTTGCTTTTTGAGCCTTAATTTTAATTTATTTTTGAAAGTAGCTATTGAGATCTACCACTGTAGCTCCTCAGCCTAAGTGATATGGATTCCTGGTTCTCTAAATTGCTCCATGGGGCTTTGTAGAGCATATTGTAGCTTTTTCCTAGTGTCCTGGCTTCAGGTCCAGTTCTCTAACCAGAACATGACACTGTAATTGTTCATGTTTCATTTCATTTATTTAGCTGTGATTTTAAATCAAGACTTTTCTTTTGGATGAAGTAATCCTTACATTGTTTTGGTTGGTTGGTTGGTTGGTTGTGGTTTTTTGGGGTTTTTTTTTGTTTACAGCTGTTAAATAGAAAATAACTTGGTATACATGTTATATGTTTCATATATGTATATATATAAAGTAGCACTATAACCACATAAAATATGGACTGTGACTCCTAGGAAGGAACTGTCTTATTATTCTTGTTACAGCACTTACTAAGTGGGACTTCTTGATGTTAGCGTGGTACAAATAAGTTACTTTTCTCTACCATATAATTTTGCTATCAATTACAGGATATAATTACCACAGGGTTGGAATCATTTTCATGTGAACATCTGGATTCCTCTGCTACACTGTGCAATGCTAATAACTTGTAGCCAGACTCCTCAACATTTGAACTCTGAAAAATTGCTGTCTCTTGCTGATTCTCCATAACATTACTAACTGACTCTCTTACTTCGGCCTGAAATATAAAGTTTTAAATCTTAACAGGCATGATTTAAAATCTACTTTAATTTCCAAGCAAATACAATAAATTTAAACATTTGGCTGCATAAATCATATATTTTGAAGCAAGTATTGTATTCAAATATAATACTGAGAATAGTTAATTTACTTGTCAATGGCAGAATGATTTTTGCTTGCACTTCAAGTAAAAATATTCATGAAGAATAACAATGAACATTAACATACTTCACAGTAACAGTGGTGTTCAGTGTCTCAAACATCATGAAGCATCAACTGATTTCTAAACTGCTTTGGAGAAGTTAGGCAATATTCACAGCAAATTATGCAAAACAAGAATTATTCTTGAATTATATAACTTTAGTCTAAGTAAGAAGTAGTCATCTGAGATTAGACTGCAAATTCAGTTAGACCTATAAATCAGATTGTTCCAAAATAAGCTTCTTTTATGGTAATCAACTTCTGTGTTTCATGACATTCCATCATATATGTGGTGCCGCTTGCATTTGTCGAAAACCAATTTATCACCTCTCCTGCTGATCCATTAACTTACTAAGGTGTCACCTTCATAAAAGCCACACTTCCAGATGAAGCCTCACCCTTCTCAGAACACATGAATGGACAACCTTGACAAACCTGGCTACAAAATTTTCAGAAATCTCCCTTTCATTAAATACCTGAATTACTATAGTTTGTCTGGCACATATCTAGGAAATTATATTTTAAAAATTCAATAATTTTAAGAAAATAATTAAATTTCAAAGACCATCTCTCCATAGGCAAGGAATACTGATGTTAAAGCCAGTCAGCTCTGGCTTTCTATACACAGCAGGTGTGATAAAGGCTCAAACACTAAACAGCTTCCCAAGGGTGTTTGGCAGAGTCCCACCAGGCGGTTTGTGTTCAGGTGGCCTTAGGAGAAGCCTCCTCCCTACTGGAACCAGAATGTGCAAGTGGCAGACAGGAGCCAACTAGGCTTGAGCTATTCAGGAATGGAAATGCACAAAAAATTCAGATGCTCTTCTTCCTTCCTACACAATATAGCAGTGTAGGAAATCTACAGAGAAACATTTTTCTTTCCCTCTCTTTTGCAAACAGATCAGATTGGACAGTGTTTGAAAGAACCTTTTACCCTCTAGTATTTAGAATAAATCCCATTTCAGACATTCAACACTTGGACAGATTCTTCCAGTTATAATAAAATCTTGCATGCATACTTACTATTTCATCATAGACAGAAGCACTCGTCTGAGGCAAGCCATAGATATCACTGGAAGATTCTAGTACATAAAATAAAGCATGTTTTGTTTGCAAAATGATCAGTGTGTTATACCAAGAACTCCTTTACAGCATCAATAAAAGAGATTTTGATGTCACTACAGCATTGCATTCTTGTGAAAGAAATATTGAATATTCTTTTGTAACAGACTTGCTGGGGAAAACAGACTTCAGTTTGGGTCTTTTTGATGTCTTTAAGAGGTTTACTGTGCCCATTTGGCAAAATTCATTTAGCTTCACAAAGAGCAAATTATCTTGTAAGAGCAGGTCTAGCAGTCAGCTTAATCCTGAGCAGGACTGTGAACAGGTTATGGGCAGAACACATCAAACAACTGCTTGGGAGCTGACTGTCATCAGCAGCATCAGTGCAAACCACCTAACTTTCATAACTGGTGATGAAACTTCAAAGTTAAATAAAAACATTGTTCAACTAAAAAAAATATAATTGTGCTGCAAGAAGGAATATCTTCTTCACAGCCCCACTGAAGGAATGGGGAGGTGGTATGAGAGGAAGGGAAAATCAAAAATAAAACTGAACTCCGTGGTTGAAGCAACATGAACATATGTGAACAGTGGTCCATTCCCCTCTCAAACATTCTTAGCTATATTAACATTATCAGAAAAGGCTCATATTGCAATTTGCCAAATCCAGACATTAATTTATTTAGCTATTTAAATCCCTCCCTAAGCTTATTGATGGGGGCGGGGGGGCGGGGCGTGGAATCCCCCTCAGTCACTTGGTGCACTTACCATTTGGGCAATCGGTCAGGTTTTGTAACTGCATAGTACTGCTTTGGGTTCCTTCAAATTGATCATAACAAATACACTTATTCTCACCTGCAACTGGAGCTATGAATGATCTGAACACCTGAAGAAAAGAATGTTTTATTTATAAGTATTTTATGCATTAAATGATTCATTTTTTAAAAGCCAAATGAATAAACAAAAAAAAACCTGACTAAAAGTGACCTTGAAAATTTGAAGTTATTTACATTTTCATGACATAATTAAGCACATAAATGCTGTGGCCTACTCAGCATTACAAGATACCGTTACATACCTTGAATGCTATTTCTGCTTTGCTTGCCTAACATACAGTTATGGTTCAGACCTAATGCATGTACAGCTATAACAGCATCATACCTAATACCTACACTTGTATGTTCAAAACCAAACCAAATGAACAGAAAATGGAACAAAGACAGAAACCAACTCTTTTCTAGTTTCAAATTAGAATTGCCATGGTTTGAACTGGACAATTTGCTCTCCATTTGTTTGTGCTACGCTCCCTCTTAATACATACAGTAGTTTAGGAGGGTAAGCAAGCAGGATAGAAACAAGCAATCAGCTTTCATTATTTCAATAAAATTATTTATAACCTGATTAGAATTTTGTTCTAATGCCTTGAAGAAACAGGACAGATTGAAGAAACATGTAGATTTAGTGTGACAAGCTGTAGGAAGAGGGCTGGTCAGAAAGATTTTTTCTAAATCTCATTTATAGCTCCTTGCAGAGACTAACAAATTTTCATTATCTTCCACTTGACCTTGAAGAAAGCAACTAATATGCCTTAATCACATCTTTATTTTCTAGAGGCTTCCACCAGTCTTTTGAATCTTATTAACGATTCAAAAGATTGAAGGTCTCGACTATTAAAGAACTGGTAATACTGAGCATGTGTGTAAACAACTTTCCAAGCCAGAGGTACTATTAAACTATAACCATAACCTGAAATCAGAAAGAAAAACAAAACATTTAAAGTAAATATCATGGTAGATGTCAAGCATCTCAGGATGAAATGCCACTGGGAAACATGCCGGGCTGTGTAGTGTCAGCAAGGATTTCTGTGACAGGTTTGCTGCGCAGACAGCCCGGCCGCTGCCACCCGTCTTCAGCCTCACCTCAGATCAGACCTCAGACCTCCTTATCAACCAAGTGATTTTTGTGAGGTTTTTGGTTTTGGGTTGTTTTTTTTTTTTTTTTGGGGGGGGGTGTAATGCTTTTCATTTTTTAATCTGAGAACAGCACTGTTTGTCAAAATATTTACATGGAAAAAAATGTCAACTAGTATGCGAAAATTTCAAGATAGTTTCTCAGAGGAAAACTCAGTGCCCTTCTAGAAGCAGCCACAGTGCAAACTTAGAATGTAGAGATTTCTTCAGATATTGTACAGCCATAAACAAAGATGCAAGGACACACAAGCATTCTATGTACGAACAGACTGCATCAAGCAGATGGATTTGGTCCTGTGAGCATCACAATAAGTTTTATGCTGCGAACCTTTCTAGATAGTAATTGATCCAACATAGAAAATGTAACTTTAAACTATACAGAAAAACTGCCAAAACTGGTAAGCGATGGGAAACCTCTCTCTCTTACCAAACTACTTTTGTCATGGAGATTTAACAATACAGGGTATGGTTTACTGCTGCAAATAAATTATTTTTTTAGTAATTTGGACTATAAATTTTAAGATGACAAGTGTGTTACCTGTGGAACTAAAGAACAAAAGTTAATATCCTATTTTTACTTTGTAAAATTACCTAATAATTCCTAATACAGACAATAATATATAAAATCAAAGTGGGTATATTTGTGACATGGTAAGATTTTTTTAATGAGCAAAATAACTACCCAGCCATTTAAAAATATGGCTTGCAACATTGACAAAAATGAACTGCATTCAGAACCAAATGTTCACACTGCATGCCATTTCTGGCAATATGCAACAGAAATTTATTTCTGTATTTGTTACTAAGTTTATTCTAGTATAAAATTTATTACATAACTTTAAACACTATGTAGATCCCCTATATTTTAATGTGGCAATTCCCCGCATTTAAGTCACAAATAAGCATGAATATTTAAACATTCCTATTTCATGGAATCTTACTGGTATCATTCTGACATTTTGATTGACTGTTCCTTCTGCAGAGAACACGCTTGACGTTGGGACGCTGCAATTGTTATGCTGTGTCGCTACAGAAGAAAGAACGTGGACACCATCTGAAGGCAGATAAGGTGAATGCGTACGTTCAGCTTCTTCTGGAAGATTGAATTCCTTGTATTTTTCAAGATCTTCATCATCACAGCTGTTGCTTCTATGCAGATGTACTTCAACTTTTACTATTGCGTTTTGGTTTTCAATGGTAAGTGGATAATTGATGTGATCTAACAAAGCCTCTCCCACATTTACAGTGCATAAATGACTGTCTTGACTGGATAGCAATCCTTCTTCAATGGGATTATTAATGACTGCAGTTTCCAGATTAAAGTTTTCAGCACTAACAGGACTATTTTGACTAAATATTTCAGCTACAAGTCCACTGTCTATCACTGATCTTATATCAAACAATATCTGATTCTCCATAGTCGTGAATAGACTGTCAACTAGTTCATATTTATTTTTTTCATTGAAGATAATTGAATTTTCTATTGCAGAATTCTTCTGAATATCTAGAAATGAATGAAATAGTCTTAACCAAAAAATATGAATATAATAATAGTGAAGATTAACCCAATTAACATGTAAGTTAAATTTAAAAACATAATGCTGGAAGAGGTTGTTTGGGTTCTGAATCCAGCTTTTAGAAAACACAGGCCACTATGCCAATACAAAGAAGCTGTTCTTACCATAAGGACACATTCTTTGTGACTTTTAAACACATTAACAGCATTCAGACTTAAATCAGAATCATAGAATCGAAGAATGTTGTGAGTGGGAAGGGACCCACAAGAATCACTGAGTCCAACTCCTGTCCCTGCACAGGACAATCCCAACATTCACACCATGTCCCTGAGGGCCTTGGCCAAATGCTGCTGGAATCTTGTCAGGCTTGGTGCCATGAGCACCTCCCTGGGGAACCTGTTCCAGTGCTCCACCACCCTCTGCCTCAAGAACCTTTTCCTCATGGCCAACCTCACCCTCCCCTGCCACATCTTCCTGCCATTTCCTCTGCTCCTGGCATTCGTTGGTGGCCAGAGAGAAGAGATCAGTGCCTGCCCCTCCTCTGCCCCTTGGGAGGAAGTTCTAGACCCCCATGAGATCTCCTCTCAGTCTCCTCCAGGCTGAACAAACCAAGTGACTTCAGCTTCTCCTCACACACCCTCTCCTCTAAACCCTTCCCCAATGTTGTGTCCCTCCTCTGGACACTCTCCAGCAGCTTTAGATCCTTTTTATCCTGTGGTGCCCCAAACTGCCCCCTGTACTTGAGGTGAGATTTTCCTACTTGGCTTTAGTGGTCAAAAAATATCAATCAAATTGACGGCAGCACACTTAGCCAGTCAGTTTTGTGTCAGTCAGTTGCACGTTAAGACCAAACCTTATCTGTGGTCTCCATGTCACTGTTGCCAGTTACAGAGGGCACAAGCCCCTCTACCCCGAGTGTCACAGGGTCACCCTCAGGAGACATGGGCTGGGATCCCCTGCGCTGTCATCGCTGCTATTCCTGAATGTGGACTAAGGCGATTCGGGAAGAGTGACGCTCCCTTGCCCCCTGTGTGCCCGGGGACCCTGCAGCCCCTCCAGGGCTCTGTCGCTCTGCACAAAGCACTGCCAGCCCCAGCACACCTGTGGGGCAGGGCGAGGGGCACAGACACACACCCACCCACAGACCCCACCCATAGACACACACACA